AAACACACAACAGTAGCCCTGCGCACAAATCCATGCACCAGTAGCTCTCTGCGGGGCCTGGCTGCTCTGTGTCTGCTGCCCAGCAGCTCTCTGTGGCATAGAGGCCCATCCGTGCCCCAGCCTGGCCAGAGGCACATCTGCAGCCAGGCACAGAATGCTTGCCTTGTCACTGTGGTGACGAAGAAAGCATTCTGCCCGTCTGCTCATGCTGCCTGCTCTGAGCAGACACCCCCCCATGGACTAGGGAACTCTGGCAGAGCTGAGAGGACTGGACGCTGCCATATTTGTGATGAAGTGATGGTTAATTTGCATATTGCCCTTTTATTAGATAGGCTATACATATTTGATGTTTCTATCTCTCCCCCTTCTCTGAAATCAATAAAAATACATACATAAATTTTTAAAAAGTCAAAATACTTTTTTAAAGCCCTAATTTTTTTTCCTTTTAATTATTTTTATTACTCAAAAAATTTGTTTAGCTTTTTGATTCTGTGTTTGTGCCTTCAACATTTTCATAATGATTTTCTGCTCCTCAGTAAAGAAAGCGTGCTTCATCCAGTCATGAATACACTTGGCACACATGGAGCCACCACAGGCCCTTTTTTCTTCTTAGACAACCTCATCAGAACTTTAGGTCTCACAGCATGGACTCCAAAAAGTCGGCCTGGGCACACACCACATGCAGATTTGGGTGCTTTCCCAACCATCCTGGTATAAAGAATTGTATTACCAGGGGTTTGGGACAGCCTAGTTTAGGCTAGCCTCTGACAGTATGTCAAGTGCTGGACCATGGTGAATGGAAACCACGGTCTCCAGAAGAGGGAAAAAAAAAAGCGAAAACCCTAATATTTAATTCCATAATTCCTTCACTAAGTACGTGTGTATGTAGGAGGGAGTGGGGGGTGGGAAGGGAGGTCTAAGAACACCCTTATTATTATTTTACTATTCTTTAAAGACATAAAGCATTTAACAATTCTGTAAGTTACTTAGCTTTACCAAAAAAATTTTTAAGAAACACAAAGTATTCTGTAAATACAGGATCTGCTAATAAATCTAAGTTATTGATGACATAGAAATATGATCCTATTTACATGTTAAATATAAAAATGTAGGTATAAATAGATGAATGCTAAGTAATTAAGTAGTGGGTATTTTTGTTAGAATTTTTATTAAATTTAACTTTCTTCCTTATTCTTGAAAGTACTCTTTCAATTTTAGACAAGGAAAACAAATTCTTACTTTTTTAAATTGTAAAGCTATTTTTCCAGAAAGAAAGGAAAAATGGTAATTGCTATTTGCTAGAAAATTAATTACATGAGAAAAATAGTATCAATATGGCCTGGGTTACTACCTCTTTGACAAAAAATTCAAATACCACTCTAAGAATTTTTGTCCTTTCAAAATAGCCATAAACTGAAGTACCTCTCTCTTGCCACAGTGTGTCACTCTTACAACACAAATTTTTTTTTTAATTTCTATAGGAAGAAGGATATTGTTTACCGTAGATTTGATTCCTCACCTAACGAGTAACAGTCTTGAAAACAGAGTACTAATCTTACTCATTGCTATAAATACCTGGCACCAGGTTACAAAGTATTCAGAACAAATTTACAATAAAAAAAGTTTGTAAAATTCAAAAAAAAACAAAGCTGAATACTGTAATTTTGTACAAGCATTACTGAAGCCACTCTATCAGGAAGAGAGCAGTAGCAGTTACAATACTGTAAGTGACAAAATCAGACAGAATGTTTGCTTTGAGAAAACAAAGCAAAAAAAGAAAACCTGTGGTTTGTAGTCTAAGTTCCTAGCAGATCGGAATAGCTCCATGAGGAGCTTAAATGAACTAAAAAGTGAACTCAACCTAGGTTGCCTGGTTAACAATCAAGAAGGAAAAGTATATCTATTCTGATCTAAATGGTAAAGAGGTAAATGCATAAATGAAGTTTTCAGGCAGAGCTATTCATGAATCAGTTACTCATGAATAAAGTATACAAATGCAATGTATAGACAAAATTGCATCTCTAACCCACCTTATACAAGGCTAATAAAAAATTCAGAAATAGTTGCTGAACTGATGCCATCAAATGTGTGGAATTTGGCAATAAAAATCCCAATTTTAACACATTATCAGTACATGTTTTAAGACTAGTGACATTTTTGGTTTGCTGTATTTCCAAAGTTTACATGATTTAATGATGTGGTTTCTTAAAATAAACATATACTTTACTGCTATTAAGCTAAAAAAAATAAGTAAAAAGAAAAAGTTATGAAGAAAACTTTGACAAACAATGTTTAAGTTCTGGTTCAAAGAAAAAAAATGAGTATAATGCTGAAAACATAAACATAGACACTCATCTAATGCACTGATTTTTTTGGTTAAAAACCAAATTTTCCTCATGTAAAGTGAGTGTCATTAGTATATCTAAGATCATTTTAATTTTTTAATTGCAATTCTCTGAAAAGAAAGTCCTAACAATGATTCACAACTATTCAAATAACTTTTGTTTTAAAAGGCAGTGCTAACATAATTTTCACATTCAAATTATTTTTAAAATAAGACAATGAAATACTAATGGTTCCATTTAACCCACCAATGTTATAGAAACTTCAGTTTTAACCAAAATCATATTTAAAATGTAGGTGTAATTAATATGTTGGCTTAGTAGGCATTTAATGAAATATTAATAAATATTGCCAAATTCCAAACACCGAAGACTAAATAAGTTTCAATAATAATGTTAAGAGTTTACTAGACTTTTGCATGCTGTCCTTATTATACGTATTTGGGCAAAAGTAGGCTTACAGTGGTTCATATGGAAAATAATGCAATAATTGATAAATAACCATCCAAGAAAAAACTTTCGCATATGCACAACTGTAAACCTACTTTTGCCACACCTTGTATAATGTACTGTAGTTTCCATTAAGTATGCCTGAATAACATAATTAAAATTTCAACTAATTCTCATAAGTATTTCTTAAAACAGCAGCTATGAAGACAAAGCAAATGTTTTCTTTTGTTTCATTTTGAAGTTGTTCACACTTATGCTATTAAACCTCTTTGATTAATAGGAAGGAGTAATTATATAGCTTTTTACCAAAATATTTGACTTTTTCCTTGGTAATTTCAAAATATTAAATTGCTCTACAATCAGTCATATTCAAAATTTTAAAGTAATTGAAAGTATAAACTTATAAGTTCTAAGCCAATTAAAACTCAAAGTTTATATACACTGACTTGCTAATTTTAACTATTCATTTAAAAAGCATTTTCTTTTTTCTACTTTTTTCAGAAAAGCCCTGAATATTGAACTCAAGTAGCAAATTTACTTTTTAAATGTTACATAAAACAATCAACATTTACATGCATAGCTAGCAAAAAATATTCCTTGTATTCAACTTTTAGAAAAGGGACAAGGTTTAAGCAGGTAACACAATCTATAAACTCATGTTAAAACTAATTTAATCTATGCCAATTAATTAGTAGGGGAAATATGCTTTCTACATGTTAAGTTGCTGAATATTTTTTAAAGCATCTGGCACATACAACTGGTTTAATTTACTGTTATTATAAGATATTTGGGCAAGTAGTTACAGTGACTAAATACACTAGTGCGGATAACTGCATTCCTTATTAAGTAAGTTAGAATCCCAACAAGCCTGAGCAACAGAAGCCCTGCAATAACAGAGGAGACTATTAAAGATGAAAAGAAATTAAAAAAGGAAGAAAAGATGAACAAGAAAGCCCTTCAGCAAATACTTGAACAAATAAATCACTCAGGCAAAGCTGAACACGTTTGCAAGGCCTGCTTTGACAGATGTTCTCTGCAAAGGCTTCAAGGCAAAACAAATGACTTTTTTTCTAAAGCTGAGAAATACTAGTTATTTTGTTTCTATATTTTTCATGTATTTTAATTTTTTAAAACATGCTTTTACAACCAGTGTTTAGGAACCCTCCGATAACACCACTTCAAGACATTTGTCAAGGGAACTTGTTTGTCACAAGTACAAAATTAATCACAAAAGCAACTTCTCCCTAAGTTAGAGAATAAAAAATTCATGAACATTTATAAAGCATCAAGGGTCAGTTTATCTTCTAAAGCTATAAAAATAATCTATACTGTTTTCACAGTAGGGCTGTGTAATATGAATTTTACAATTCATATTATAAAGTCCACATTCTCACAAAAGTTGAAGCAACATTTAAAGAGTATGAATAAGATTTGCTGACTGTTCACATTTATAAGACTCAAAATATAAGTATTTTGACTAAAACTTGTTTATAGGAAATCAAATTCCAGAAAATGATCATGCAGAGTGTACTTACCAGTGCTCATGCCTTCCCTTCCCCTAACGCTTGAATTCTAGGCTTCCACACTTTTCTATCTTTCCAATTAAAAACGCTGCAGCCTGCTATACTCCATAAAATGGCCGCGTTGTTTAACCAAGAAAAACATGTTAGAGCTGTCACTTTTAAAAGAAAAAGAAAATAAACAATTGTTTCTTTTGTGGAGAAGCATAAAACACTTAGGCTGGCATTTTGAATTATGGAGCTCCCCTGGATGTTGCTACTGCTCTTCAAGTAGTTGCAGTAAAATTTCTGCCACATTCTTGCTTTCTGCATGGTGTATCAGCAGTAACAGATCAGAACAGGCTAGCAAACAACTCCTTTCTAAATGTAAGCTCTAATTTTTTCTTCTCCAGTGAAATGAACCAAGTTTCTATGCAAAAGAATGAGTGACAGTATGCCTAGCCAATCAGCTTGAGATTTTTTCAAGAAAATCACCCCTTAATTCATTCAAAATTAGGTCATATGACACTATTTGAAATACTATTGGCTTACAATGAAAGTAATGTTTGCCTCTTCAGAGGATAAGGCCACCCATCTATGCTTCCCTGGGCTGAAGACACATTGAGTATAAACGGTACTGTGAATTAAACACACACACACACACACACACACACACACACACACACCGAGATAAAGAATGTAGCCTTACCAGAGCTTCCCAACTATTAAAGGGCCGGAGTTCTATTATCTTCTGAGCCTTTTTCTGAGAACACTGAGGAATCAAAGTAAGTTCAGTAATTGAAGCATCTTGAAGGAAGTGAAGAATTTTACCTTTATAACCATCCTCCATCACTTCTTCACCACTACTATAGTCCTCATCTAGTGAACTACCTGCATCAGAACCTGAATCATATTCAGAGTCTTCAGTAACTCTCTTCGGATTGAATACATTTTTTTTACGTTTCTTGTTAAAACCATTTTGTGCTTTCATGGCATATTTCTGTTTAAGTTTTGCTTTAGCTATACTTTTAGGATAATTTTGACTTCTCGAAGAAACTTCTTTTCCATTTGGAAATTCACTTTGTGAAGCATATTCTGTGTACAAAGAAAAACAAAAATAACTAAATTACAAAGATATAAATTAAAACAATGTAACACTTCAAATAAGAAAAATATTTAAACGTGTATTTTTCCTTCTGAATACAAAATTCAACTATAAATTATTGTTAAACCTTGATACTCACTAAGAGAAATACTGAGTACAATTTGAAGTTATTCAATAAGTTAAAATAATTAGTTTCAAAAACAGGTGATAACTTCTTTTTCAAAGTGTATTAATTATAAATCCGCATTTTCTAACAAAGGTCTTAAAATATAAATGGCAGCTGCATACCCACATGTCCCAGATGTTACTTTGCAGCCATCCCTATGACAACACTGATGGGTATAGCAATAACAAGGCTCACCCAAATTAAAACCTTCCATATTATAATTAATTTTTCCCTTACTACCTACCTCTAAGTAGTCTGTTTATCATTACTTAGTAAAAAAAAGTATTTAAATATATTAAAAGGCACTACTGCTTTATCACTGATTAATAAATCATATTCCGAATTTCTAACATGCCTGTGATTGAAGGTAATTTTAATGTACCAATAAGAAAATATGTACCAATTAATTTTTACACAAGAATTTATTATTTAGAATGTCTTTGTTTTACCTACTCAAAGAGCTTTTAGACTTACACATTGATTATAATATACCTTCATTCTTGTGCATATATTAAAAAAATAAGCAAGATAAATTGGGTAATTTCTTCACTTCATAACCTATCTCTTCTGAATCAATTTTCTGACTCAGAATTGGTGATATCGGTGGCTCTCTTTACTCCACACAATATCATTCTCCGTGCCAACAAAAGCATTTGTAGTATAGCCATTCTTAAAAGGAATCATTTTCAAAACAAGAAAAACCTAAAGCCAATTATAAAGAGCTAGTATACTTAATTCTTGCTTAAGGATGTTACTAAACTTGAGTGATTCAACTCTTCCCCACTATTTCTCATAAACTATTTGATTCCTAAGGTTAGTGTTCCACCAGGGATTTTCTTCCATGCCAGTAAGTCCCATTTTTTAAGTTTCTGATATTGGTACTTTTGACATTCATGCAAGTGCAGGCTAGGACTTCTACGGTAATCATTAAGATCCATTCAGAGAGCTATTAAAATGCAAAAAAATTTCGTGTTTTTTTTATAGTCAATAAAACATGATAGATTACAGTAGCCATAAATATCAAAGAAAGTTATCCGAACAGAATATATTTATTATTATTTCATTTTACACTATCATAAAGAATAGGCCAAAACATTTGGGAACTGGCCATTTATTTTTTTTTTTCATTACTGTTTCTAATATCTTTTACAATCCCATGCTCTAAATACTAGATAATAGATTTACTATTTTCTTATAAACTAAAATATAGACTGTAATGGGAATATGTATTTCTATAATAACACAGAATGAACAATTACCTTGATCGTCTGCAAACACTCTTAAAGATTCTAAGGCTTCTGTGTACATCCATTCATGTTCCTTGAGTACGTCCCTTAGTTCCTAGATATAAGTTATGGATGGTTCATTAAAAATCTAAAATTAGCAGTTCAGAGAAAACTTTTATGATCTTTAAAAATAAGAAAAGCATCTGATTGCTTCACATTTGTTTTCATGCTGCTTTACAAATGCTATCTGTGTATATAATTTCACCTTCACGGATATATATCAGTTGTCAAAGGGAAGGACATTTGACTTTTTTTGAATTTTTATTTTCCCAATGAAATGCCCTGAACATTAAAGGATTAAAAAGTGATTGCTCAATTAAATTTCTAAATACACCTGGGCTTTTACAAACTGTAAATTTCAAAACACACTAGTTCCAACATATGTAAAAAAGCAGTATAGCAATAAGATTTTGCTTTCAGCTCATCAGAATTAGCAGATGTACTACCTGTACATATGTCTGAAAAAATCAAATGCAAGTATTCTAAATGTTAAACAAATAATGTGATTCCATATTTTAATCATATGATTAAACTCTGGTCCTATTACCACCACCATGCTTTGTATGAGTCTTTAATGACTCAAAGTATTTTCACTATCTGGAAAATAGAACAAAGCTTACAGAATATTAACACTATGAAATGAAGTATTACACTTTAAAATTGCTTTTTTGTTGTTAATCATCAATTGAGGATATTTTTCCCATTGCTTTTCAGAGAGAGTGGAAGGGGGAGGGTGAGAGAAACATTGATGTGAGAGGCACACCCATTGACTGGGTGCCTCCTGCATGAGCCCCAATCAGGCCTGGGGAGTGAACCCACACTGAGGCATGTATGCTTGACTGGGAACTGAATCCAAGACTCTTTGGAGTGAGGGTGGACATTCTAACTACTGAGTCATCCTGGCCAAAGCTACAACTTTAAAATTTTTATGAGAAATTAAAAAAAAAGTAGAACAGGAAAAATAGATAAATCAGCTGGCTTGGGGTTATAGATGGCTTTCTAGATAATTTACATTTTACACATAAGTTAACAATTGTTACTACAGTTATGTTTGTTATGATTATGGTTTTAATGCTGATACTATAGTTCACAAATACGGTAAACAATGTAAACAATTAACAAGCCATATAAAGATATTTTAAAGAAAAATATTTAATTAGAAAAATGTAAAACTCATTCATAACTTTTATATCTCAAATACTATTTTGTAATACAAACACTTAGTACATGCTGATTAAAATTTCAGTACATTACTCACCTTTCTACCCAAATGGGGAAATTCTTTTTGCAATTTCAATACAATACTTTCCTGCTTTTCCCAAATACTTCTAGATTCCGCAGACTCATTTGATTCCTCTCCCTAATAAGGAGAAAAAGAGAACCAATTTAAGAGATTATCAATAACCAGAGATTAAAGACAAATTACATTTCTATTTTGACTTGATTTGGAAATTATCACATTCAATCTGAAGAATCCAAAAATGTTTCATTTTGTTCACATAAAATGATAAATTTATGTGGTTAAGGATTTAAAAACTATATATATTGCTGGTATAAGATCCCTGAAAGCCCTTGATTGCATATCCAACAACTGACAACTCACAGTTCATTCATACAGTGGTCAAAATGAGATAAGTCTGCTAAAAAATAAAAAACTAGAATGTTTCTCAAATTAACCTGAAATAATTCAGGTATATTAAAGTCTCTAAAAGTTATTGGAAAAAGAAAAATATTTCATCTGTGTTCAGTTTCATACCTCCAATTTCAAATACTGAGACTTACTTTTACTTCAGTCTTGATTCATAAAATGGCTTAAGTATAAATTGCTCAGACAGAACATAAAAGTGACACAATGGCCCTAGCTGATTTGGCTCAGTGGATAGAGTGTCGGCCTGGGGACCAAATGGTCCCAGGTTTGATTCCGGTCAAGAGCACATGCCCAGTGTTACAGGCTCAATTTCCAGTAGGAGGCATGCAGAGGGCAGCCAATCAATGATTCTCATCGTTGATGTTTCTATCTCCCCCCCTCTCCCTTCCTCTCTGAAATTAATGAAAATGTTTTGTTTTTTTAAGTGACACGATTAAAAAAAAAAAAAAAGACAAAACTTATGTGGGCTCTGGTCAGATAGCTCAGCTAGTTGGAGCATCATCCTAATATGCCAAGGTTGCAGGTTTGGTCCCCAGTCAAGACACATAAAAGAATCAACCAGGCTTGGCCAGCATGTGCAGTGGTTGAGCATAGACCTATGAACTGGGAGGTCATGGCTGGATTCCTGGTCATGACACATGCCAAGGTTGCTGGCTCAACCCCCAGTAGAGGGCGCATGCAGGAGGTGGCTGATAGCTGATTCTTATCATTGATGTTTCTAACTTTCTCCCTCTCCCTTCCTTCCTCTCTGAAATAAATAAAAATATATTTTTAAAAAAGAATCAAACAATGGATGCATAAATAAGTGGAAAAAATTGATATTTCCACACAAAAAAATCAATTAAAAAACCCTCTGTGAAACTAAACAATATATAAATTAAACATCAGCCAAGACCGGTTTGGCTCAGTGGATAGAGCGTGGCACTTGGGCACAAATCTGTCTCTGTGGATCCAGCAGTTATGAGTCAGTCCTGTAGTTATTTTTCTGGTTCCAGAATGAAAAGCTGGGACAGACATATTTGGCATTGGCAGAAACCCCGTATTAGCTCCTTGAATAAGGACCATCATTTCAGGCAATACCAAACCCAAGTTCCCAGTTTAGCCCTCTAAAGCAGCAGCAGCAGCAGCAATACCATTATTCCGGAAGGAACTGCAGAGAGTGACACCACTGTCCCATCCCAATGCAATGTGCCTCCTTGGCCTAAAAGCTGAATAGGTCTTGGAAAATTATTTTGGGTGAACATAAACAGATGATGACCCCAATTGCAGCTGCTATACCAGATGTAGTATTTTTAATGGAGCAGATCAATATAACTATGCAGTTATCAATCTGGCAGATGCTTTTCTCTCCCCTATCCCGATTAGAAAGGGCAAGTAGAAGCAATTTGTTTTTACCTAAACAAGTCAGTGATAGATACACCTTCCCAGGCTTCTGGGTTTTGGTTACTCTCCTGCTCTTTTTCATAATAAAGTACTCAAGGATTCTTACTGTTTTCCACAATCCACAGAATATGACTTTGTCCCTCTACACTAAAGACATCATATTGACTGGACTTGATAAGCAGGAAGCAGTGGTGTTTTAGATGGCCTTACAGAATAATCTAGTGAATATAATAGAATCAGAAGCATAGAAAGGGAGTGGACTGACAATTCTTGGGGAGAAAGGGTTGTGGAGGGTGTGGAAAGAGATAGAAAAAAATCATACACCTTTGGATGAGGACAGTGGCGGGGCAGGTGGATAAGGACAGAGTGTGGGGTAGGAATCAGGCGAAGGGGAGTTTTGAGAGGGGGAATAAAGAGGAACAATTGTAATAATCTGTAGAATAAAGATTTTTTTTAAATATAATTTATTGATTTTGTACAGAGAGGAAGGGAGAGAGATAGAGTTAGAAACATCGATGAGAGAGAGTGTCATCGAGCAGCTGCCTCTTGCACACCTCCTACTGGGGATATCCCACAACCAAAGTACATGCCTATGACTGGAATCGAACCCAGGACCCTTCAGTCCTCAAGCCAACTCCAAACCGGTTTCGGCGAATAAAGATTTTTTTTTAAAAAAGCTGCCACAGAGGCAACAGATCAGTCCCTGCTTCTCTCTTCAGGCCTCTCTGGTCCTGATTCACAGCCCCCTCAACAGTCAGTGCTGAGCACCAGGCCTGCAGCGGAAGTAGTCAGGACTCACTGCCACTTGATTGAGCTTTGGTCGTTACTGGTATTTACGGCCCAGGTTTTTTACATATTAGGAGGTTTTTATATATTAGGATACATATGTATAACTTTCATGAAAAAATTTTAAAAGTATAAATATATGTCATATGAATATTCTAAAAATTAATTTTATAACTAAGAGGTGGAAATTAATACTAGATAAATTAAAAAGAAAACAAAACAGACACAAATGAAATGCAAAACTTGATTCTCTGACTTGGTATTGAGACAGAAAAGGAAGATTCCTTTAGGTGGCTTTTCAGGTCTGATGTTCATAAACAATATATTCTGTGCTTAACCAGGTAATTTTGATAGTGCAATTCAAATGTAACTTACATGATCCATTTTTTTCTTTTTTATGGTTTGATTACCATTACATTCATCTTCCTCATTTGAGTCTGAAGAAGAAGACAACTTTCTTTTCCTGGGTCCACCACCTTCTACAACAGAGAACAACACTCAAAATTTGCACAGGTAAGTATAAGAATTATTAATGCAACAGAAAGCCAAAGTGTTACATAATTAATACATTTGTAGATTGTCCTCTTGACATCAGGTCCAATGTTGTTTCTTTGACATAAAATGTCTACTCAACAAAATTGAAGAAAAAGTGAACAGAGACTTCAGTCCTTCAAAAGTAGAAATCATTATAATAATGCATTTGTAAACCATCATATTTAATGCTAAAAACATAGATCACTAACTTGACAAGTAATTCTTCACTGTAATATTCGGAGGAAGGGGTTCTCCTGAGTGACTTATTGTTTATCAGTAAGAAAAAGTTGAGTCCCAGCAGTGTAGCTTCTCTGAATAGCATCACTGACATCAGTAATTGTATTCTATATACCAGGCTTTGTAGAGGACTTTTATACATTTACCTTCAAAAAAACCCCTACAAACTAGATAGTATTCTCATTTAACAAATAAGGAGGAACTGAAATAGATAGCGCAAGCAATTAATGGTCTTAACTTAAAAATAACAGTAAGACAAGCATCTAACAGTAATGAAAATCTGCATATTCTGCCAAGACTAAAAGAAAACTAGACTCACTGTATATGATTTTAAAAAGCTGTTACTTACTTATACTTTGTATACATTGACATATTGCTTAAATACTTTTACTTTCTGAGTAAATGCCTTAGACATACCACTGTGCTAATATAAAAGCATCTGCTATAATTTCACAAAGGTTTAAGATTTTAATATTAATTATATCAGTACCCTAACTATACAGTTAGAAATAAAAGATGTAGAAATATAATATTCACAATAAACACAAACTTGACAACTTTTAAGTTGTAAGCCAGAAAATTTCATAATATGGCTGTAACAAAATAATTGAATGCTTAATTTTTTTTTCAATTTATTTCATAAAGTAATTGTGCATTATACATTTGCCAACTAACTCCTACCATCCACTTTAAGAAAGGGGAAGTATAACTACCACCTCATCATTACCCATATATTTGTTGGGGTTAAGTGAACACTATTAGGAATAGTCTAAGTCTGAAAGAACTTCAAACTAGATCATTTGAGTCACTTAGACATATTTATTTACTAAAATAAAAACTTTGTTTTGTCAATAAAAAAATTCTTTAGCCTAGCCCTACTGATGTGGCTCATTAGCTGAGAGTTGACCCACGAACCAAATCAGGGCTCAATTCCTGGTTCAAGGCACAGGTCCTGGTTGAAAACTCAATTCCCAGTAGGGGGCATACAGGAGGCAGCCAATCCATGATTCTCTCTCATCAATGATATTTCTATTTCTCTCTCTCTCCCTTCCTCTCTCTGAAATCTGAAATCAGTAAAAATATATTTTTAAAAAAATAATTTTTTAGCCATATATTTGTCAATACATCTTTTTATTTTGGTGGGGGGAGTGGAGTGTTAATACTGTAGCAACAAATCTTTATGTGTGTATAAAATGGCAAAATGCCAGAATGTGCAATTATTAAGTGTGGGAGAAAATATAAAACTAAATTTTTTTTTACAAAAGGTTACATAATGCTTTAGTTACCTATCTCTAAACCTATCCTATTTCTAATTATTAATTAGATATTTAATATGCTATACTATATATCAATATCAAATTATGTTTCATGCATTCTTATCTTTTATTAGAAGGAGCCATCATCAATTTAAGGGGAAAAATTAGATGTACCTCATACCCCAGATAAAAATAAATTCATATAAATTCAATATTTAAAAACAAAAGCTGAAATAAAAAAAATATGGACAAATAAAACAAATAGGCAGTTTAACAGAAAAACAAAAAGAGGCCCACCTTAGATGATAATTTTTTTATAATAAATGGACACAGGGCAAATAGTACGGATTGATGAATTGTAAGCTTTCTGGAAAACAATCTAAAAAAATACATCTCTGAATTTTAGTTCTGTATAGCTTTTAGTTCAACAATTCCTTTTCCAGGTATTCTTTCCACGGATTTCATGGAAATGTCTGCTTAGGCATATACACAAAAATGTTACCAAAATGTCTTAATGCCCAAGATATTAGACAAATTAGGATACACAAATATTCCACTATTATAAAAGAGGAAAATATTTAAAGTAACATGGAAAGATATCTCTAATAAATGAAAATGTTACAAAATAGCAGATATAATAGGATACATAAATACGTTTTGCCTATTCTGATACATATAGAGAAATGGAAAAAATGGCCATGGAAACTCCTGACAATATGAATAAATTCATATTCGTACCTTTTTTAAAAAAAGTAAAATTTTGCATTTTTTATAACTTAGTATTCAAAACAAAAATGTTCAGAAAGCAATGTATAAAATACATCCTTAATGCTTAATATGCGAGTTGGTATTTTCTACAAAAGATAAATTTAATGTAAAACTTATGTCCAACATCATAACTTCTGAAACTGTCTAAGATCTTTTACAGGTATTTAAAAAAGCCTTTTGTTGAAAATTGTCCAAATACACCCAAAATAACTTTCCATCTTAATGATTTCATATATTGAAAGTTATCTTATCTTGGCAAGATAAGGCCACCATACCTAAAATATTCATAGTACTAAAAATGAAGATGACAGATATGACTAATACTTTCCAAGATGAAGTATGGAAGGAAGTTTACTTAAGAAGCAAAAAAATCCCAATTTCTTCTTCTCATGTAACTAGCACTTGACTTATATCAATTGGTTGCCTTCCCTAAATTCCCCGACTGGGGATCAAATCCACAACCTAAGTATGTGTCATAACCAGGAATCAAACCAGCAACATTTTGATGATGCTCCATCTAACTGAGCCAACAAAGAAATTATGGCCCGGCTGGCGTGGTTCAGTGGTTAACACCTATGAAGCAGGAGTTCACGATTCCAATTCTGGTCAAAGCACATGCCCGGGTTGTGGATTCGATCCTCGATGTGGGATGTATAGGAGGCAGCCGATCAGTGATTCTCCCATCACTGATGTTCTTATCTCTCCCTCTCCCTTACTCTCTGAAATCAATAAAACATACATTTTTAAAAAAAGAAATTCTGAAGCTGAAGAACTCAATAATGCAATAAATGAGATTAAGAATGAATTAAAGAACGGCTAGCATGGCTTAGTGATTAAGCGTCAATCTATAAACCAAGAGATCATAGTTCGAATCTGGGATAGGGCATATGACAAGGTTGTGGGCTCAATCCCCACTGGGGCACTTTCCAGGAGCAACTGATCAATGATTCTCTGTCATCACTGACATATATCTCTATCTCTCTCTCTCTCTCTCTCTTCCTCGTTAAAATCAATAAAAATATATATTTTTTTAAAAATGGAGGGGGTGAATTAGAGAGCTTAGAAAATAGAGCAGATCTGATAGAAAAAAAGAATTAGTGATCTTGAACTTAGAAATCTAGAAATGACTCAGATGAAAAGAAAGAATTGAGAGTTTTAAAAATATGAAAGAATTCTATAAAACCTATCTGCCCTCATGCTTTGGCTCAGTGATAGGCCCATGGACTAAAGGGTCCTGGGTTCAATTCCAATCAAGGGCTCAATCATGAACATTCATTCGGGAGGCAACAAAACTTTGACATCACTCTCATATCAAAGTTTCTCTGTCTCTCCCTCTACCTTCCACTCTATCTAAAATCAATGGAAAAATATCCTGGGTGAGGATTAACAACAAAAAAAGAACTATCTGATTCCATTAGAGAGAGCAATCTATAATGATAAAAGCATATTATGCTAATTAGGGCAGCCGGACAACCAGATGACCTTCTGGATGAAGCTGCGGCTGTGAGTGCCGAGCCCGAGCCCCTTGCACAAATTTTTGCATTGGGCCTCTAGTAATAAAATAATGGGTATACTTGAAGAAAAGAAAGAGAACAGAAAGCCTATTTAAACAAATAATGAGAACTTCCCAAACATATAGACAGCTAGACCCGCAAATCCAGGAAGAATGATAGAACTACTATTATCCTCAGTGCAAAAAGGCCTTATCTAAGGAACATTATTTTAAAGGTGTCAAAACTTAATGACAAAGAAAGAATTCTCAAAACAGCTAAGGAAGACTGTAACCTATAAAAACAAAACAAACCATTAGTTTATCATTATGGGGTTTTTTTCCAGCAGAAAATTTATAAGCTACAAGTAGAATCAAATATTCAAAATACTGAGAGTTATCACCATTCAAGAATAATATATCCAGCAAAATTATTCTTTAGATATGAAGGAAAAATAAAGACTATCCAAGAAAAACAAAAGCTGAGGCCCACAGGACCTACTTAATAAAAAATGTTAGATTCCTTTTACCTGAAACAAAAAGACAACAGCAAATAAAACTGAAGATGACAGACAAAAGCAGAAAATTGCAAATATTATTCAATATAGAGCATTAAATACTTACATATAATATAAAGTTGAAGGGAGTAAAGGCATCAAAAAACACTATAGCTTCTACAATTTGGAAAATAAAGGTACAGCATATAAAGGAATAATTTACAACAACAAAAATATAAAAAGGGAAGGGAGAAAAGAAATGAATTTGCATAGGTTCATTATGCAAACAGACTTAAAAGAATAGAAGATCCACAGAAGAATGGGTGTAGTGATACTTATATCAGATAGATTTCAAGATAAAATTGGTAACAAGAGACAAAATTGAACATTTTATAATCATAAAGACAGACAATACATTAAGAAATAACACTTAAAACTGAAAATACCAAATAGAGGGAGAATAAACAACATGCTACTGAAGAACTACTGGGGCAAAGGGAGAAACAAGAGACTAAAACGTACATGGAGACAAATGAGAATGACAATACAGCAAAATTTGTGGTATGCACCAAAAGTAGTACTAAGAGGGAAGTTTATAGAATTACAGGCCTAGCTCAAGAAACATCTCAAATAACCTAATGTGAACTTAAAGAATTTGAAAAAGAACAAATGAAGCCCAAAATAAGTAGGCATGAATA